AAAGAGATTTAAATACTCTGCATATTGATAGCGGCTCCCTGATGCACGGGAGCGGGCGGGACTGGACACAAAAATCTCAGGAGCGGGCGGTAATGGTCAGAAATTCAGCGGGAGCAGGATTAAGAAAACCGATTTCGAAATACTTCACTCAAATGACATGTTCGTGAATTATTCCAGTGTAGTCTGTGCACACGGACGCACTTCCGGAAACATCGGCTGAAAAAAAGAAAAAAAAAAAACGGTCAACCGGTGCATCCCTACCAAGCGGCAACCTCTCGCTCTCTCTCGTGAAGCCAACAAGGAAGTGACTTAAACTGTAATTCATCAACTGGCTGCTAGAGGCTGTCTGCAAAAGGGAGTCAATCCCATAGACTCCCCATGTTAAAATGCCCAACTTTACAGCAGAAAAAAACATGTTTACAGCCTGGTTCAAAAAATGATTTTGGTCTATATAGCTAATTTTTTTATAACTCATCTGTTTAAATTATATTAAGCCTTAAAATTCTGCATAATTAATGGCATGGCCACTTGAGTGACAGGTGGATTGCTGCTGCTGTCACCGCCATCAAACTAGGTGGGCGTGGTTTCAGCAACCTGCTCCTGTCTCTTTGCCCATTTTCGATTATCCGGGAGTGATGCATGGTGACGTGCTGCCAAGATGGCGACGGCCCGCTCCGCCCACTTTGAGCTTCAAAAAACACTCTTCGGAAATCTACGGGTGACGTCATGGACACTACATCCATGTTTTTATACAGTCTATGATCCCTACCAACATACCTTTGTGATTTTTTTGAGTGCATGTAACACATAGCATAAACTTATATTCAAATTTCTGCCAAAAAAAAAAAAACGCCCACCATCTGCATGAGGTCAGTTGTGCATATGGAGTGTAGTGATAATAATGTGTACCTGTGAGTTAACAGTCCTCCTACCCACGCAGTGTCTTCTCAGTCGCTCAAACATTCTGTGCATTTTATATGAAAAATTGTCTCTTATCTTTGTAAACACACCTGTAAGCTTCCTACCTGCCTCTCGACCTACTGACATGCAGACATGTACAAACCCACCCACACACACCATAGATGAGAGCCCTTCTCACAATCCCCCAATGAATACACTCACAGCACATTCAGTGATATTGAACATGCAACGTCTGCCTTCTGGCTCTGTGTATTGATATTGGGGGAAATTTAACCATTCTCCACATTCACTGGAGAATCTGATGCCTGTTGGCATTTCTGTCAGACTAAATTCTGTCCCAGGGTGAAAAATATGCTGCGTTTTAAACAAAGGCATGAGGGTACATGTGTTGACCTTCGACTCTATGGAGACCGAATGATCTCTAACCCCTCCTCCATCCATCCCTTTCCATCCATTCCTCCTGCTTTCTTTGCCTCTTATTATGTAATTGATTAGAATGTTTCTGTAGATTTCATACCTTTAAGTCAGTGTGGGAATTAGGGAGTGACTTTGAGGTGGTTGACTCTTTTGATGTAATTTTGTGACTTAAACTGTAATTCATCAACTGGCTGCTAGAGGCTGTCTGCAAAAGGGAGTCAATCCCATAGACTCCCCATGTTAAAATGCCCAACTTTACAGCAGAAAAAAACATGTTTACAGCCTGGTTCAAAAAATGATTTTGGTCTATATAGCTAATTTTTTTATAACTCATCTGTTTAAATTATATTAAGCCTTAAAATTCTGCATAATTAATGGCATGGCCACTTGAGTGACAGGTGGATTGCTGCTGCTGTCACCGCCATCAAACTAGGTGGGCGTGGTTTCAGCAACCTGCTCCTGTCTCTTTGCCCATTTTCGATTATCCGGGAGTGATGCATGGTGACGTGCTGCCAAGATGGCGACGGCCCGCTCCGCCCACTTTGAGCTTCAAAAAACACTCTTCGGAAATCTACGGGTGACGTCATGGACACTACATCCATGTTTTTATACAGTCTATGATCCCTACCAACATACCTTTGTGATTTTTTTGAGTGCATGTAACACATAGCATAAACTTATATTCAAATTTCTGCCAAAAAAAAAAAAACGCCCACCATCTGCATGAGGTCAGTTGTGCATATGGAGTGTAGTGATAATAATGTGTACCTGTGAGTTAACAGTCCTCCTACCCACGCAGTGTCTTCTCAGTCGCTCAAACATTCTGTGCATTTTATATGAAAAATTGTCTCTTATCTTTGTAAACACACCTGTAAGCTTCCTACCTGCCTCTCGACCTACTGACATGCAGACATGTGCAAACCCACCCACACACACCATAGATGAGAGCCCTTCTCACAATCCCCCAATGAATACACTCACAGCACATTCAGTGATATTGAACATGCAACGTCTGCCTTCTGGCTCTGTGTATTGATATTGGGGGAAATTTAACCATTCTCCACATTCACTGGAGAATCTGATGCCTGTTGGCATTTCTGTCAGACTAAATTCTGTGCCAGGGTGAAAAATATGCTGCGTTTTAAACAAAGGCATGAGGGTACATGTGTTGACCTTCGACTCTATGGAGACCGAATGATCTCTAACCCCTCCTCCATCCATCCCTTTCCATCCATTCCTCCTGCTTTCTTTGCCTCTTATTATGTAATTGATTAGAATGTTTCTGTAGATTTCATACCTTTAAGTCAGTGTGGGAATTAGGGAGTGACTTTGAGGTGGTTGACTCTTTTGATGTAATTTTGAAAGATCTTATAATTTCTAAAGGTATTTTTCAAGGTCCAATTATGCCGCCACTAGCATAGCTAGCCAAATGTCTTTTTTTTTTTTTTGGTAAATATTTAACTAAAATAATAATGAATTATTATCCAGTCTGTGCCAGTTATATGTGCTATATATTAGTGCTAGTTAGCTCTAACACGCGTTATATGGGGACTTTTCTTAGATTGTGTGAGAGGCACTTTTTGTACACTTTTTTTCCCCTCACCACTGAATAAAATATTTTGCTTTGCTTCTTTCATGAGACTTTTTTTGCCTCTAGTTCATAACCTGTATGAAATTAACATCCACAGTGATTTATTAACCATCGCATTGCACTGTGTGTGACAGGAAGTGACGTGCAGCCAGCTGTTTTATAGCCCTGCAGTGAGAGATGCATCCTGTCCTGTTCATGGGACTGTCTGGGTGTGACAGTTTCAGTCCCAAGAGTCTGTGAGGATATCCTGCCACACAGCTGTGTGGTTAAACACTAGTCTATATGTGCACTCACTCTCACATATGCAGACACACTCTTGAGTGGAATCGCTCTCTGTCTCTCACTGTCTGACACAGAGTGCTGTTCTGCTCAGTCAGCACACATACACAAACACTCCAAGGTCATTCAGCTCTGGACAGTACCCATCACTCGAACCCCCACTCAACATCTCAACCTTCTCCATCAGAGCAAAACACACACTCACATCAGTTCTTACACAGTCAGCACCTGCGTCAAGCCGGTAATTCTGCCAGGAATAACTGCAACACACATCACTGCATGAACACTGGCATTGACTGAGATTTAAGTGAGATATGCATCACATAAATGAAGAACTGCAACTCTAAATAATAATATAATATAATATATAATATAATATTTATCCATTTTCAAAATCACTTGTCCTGTTGAGTTGTGAGTCTTATATTGTTTCATATTATAGATTTTATATATTTTACATACAAAACAGATATATATAATGCATAAACATATATATATA